TTGGACGTTTCAGTCTTGCTATTAAATAATTTGGTATGACACAATGTTCGTCTGATCATATCGTATTCTTCAAGCATAATTTAGAAGGGCGATGCGTTTACTGAATTATTTTATATTAATGATATTGTCATCACTGGAGATGATATGGATGGTATTACAAAGTTAAAGGAGCATTTACACAATCATTTCCAGACCAAAGATTTGGGACCACTACGGTACTTCTTAGGAATTGAGATTGCCCAATCAAAGAATGATGTTATCCTATCTCAGAGAAAGTATGTTGTTGACATATTAGAAGAAACAAGTATGAATTAATGTAAGGTTATGGATTCCCCTATCGATCCAAATGCAAAATTGCTTCTAGGACAAGGGGAGCCATTGACTCATATTGATGCCGGACGATATGAAAGGCTGGTTGGTAAACTTAATTATCTCACTATCACCCGACCAAATATATCATTTGCAGTAAGTGTAGTGAGTAAATTCATGCAGTCTCCATGTGACTCTCATTGGAAGACACTTATGCGTATTTTGCGGTATATTAGAGTCTCTCGGAAAAAGGATTACTTTATACTAATCATGATCATTATGAAATCATTGGATATTCGGATGCTGATTGGGCCTTGTCTCCAATCGATAAACGTTCTATCTCTGGTTATTGCGTGTTTATTGGAGGCAATTTGATATTTTGGAAAAGTAAGAAACAAGATGTAGTTGCGCGCTCTAGTGCTGAGGCTGAATATCGTGCTATTGCTTTAGCTACATGTGAGTTTCTCTGGATTAAACAATTACTTTGTGAACTCAAATTCTGTGATGTGACAAAGAAGAAGTTATGGTGTGATAACCAAACAACACTACACATTGCATTAAATCCAATATTTCATGAACGAATGAAGTATATCGAAATAGATTGTCACTTCATCGAAGAGAGTATTATCTGGATAATAGATACTAAATATGTGCCTTCAGATGATCAACTTGCAGACATATTTACGAAAGCTCTGAGAGATCCTAGATCCCAATCTATCTGCAACAAGCTTGGATTGTATGATTTGTACGCTCCAGCTTGAGGTGGAGTGTTAGAATCATATCCATATCTTATCCATATCCATAATTTAGTTAGTTAGGATAGATTTTCTAATTTGCTATATATATATATATATATATATATGTACTTTCCCGTTTTCTTTTTTTGGAATAGTATATTTATTTTCCCTTTATTTCTCTACCGTTACAATGAGATAATTTAATTTGCCTACTAGTCTTTTATCTCTTTCAGGCTCCCCAAAAGGTGTCCCTTCAGTTGTAAATATTTGGTTTGGTGTCATAGGGACACTGGATTATTTAGCTATGATCGCTCCCGTTTCAATCAACAAAGCAAGAACATATTTTCATTGAGAGAAAAATATTGTTCTTTCTAAACACCTCGATCCCTAAAAAATATTGTAGCTTACCAAGATCTTTAGTCTAAAATTGTGAGTGGATGGATTCCAATAAAGTTAAGATCCCACTCGTACCACTACCGGTGATAATGTCATCCACATATACTACAACAAGGGTAATTCCAAAATTCATACGACAACAAAATAGAGAATGATCAAATTTGCTCTTCATCATCCCAAACATCTCAACCGTGTAGATGGAGTAGTCTTATAGAGTGTGAGCCTGAGACCTAGTTGACGAAGTTGGAGGTATGAGACCTAAGTATAAATCAACCAATCATCGTCTGAAATGGAAGTAGGAGCACTAGAATCTAAGGGAAAACTAGTAGATTCAAAGAAGGCTACATCCAAAGAAACAAGATAGTGGTTGAGATTCGGACAATAACACTAATAACCCTTCTGAACACGAGAATACCCAACAAAAAAAACACTTGAGGGAATTGGGATCGAGTTTAAAATATGTGGCGGAACATCCCGAACGTAGCATAAACACCCAAAGACTCTAGAAGGGAGAGGAAATAAAGGCTGTGACAAAAACAAAGTTTGATAAGGTATTTCACCTCCCAGAATGGATGATGACAGACAATTAATCAGGAAACAAGGTGTAGAGACAACATCCACCCAAAATATCTTAGGAACCTTCATTTGGAACAATAAAGCGCGAGCAATCTCAAGGAGATGTCAGTTCTTGCATCAACTATCCCATTTTGAGAAGGTGTATCAGTACACAAAGGCTGGTGAAGTATACCATGCTAATACATAAATTGATTAAATTGTTCAAGGAAGTATTCTTTTGCACTATCACTATGTAGACAACGAACTTGAACATTGAACTGAGTTTGAATTTCAACACAAAAGATAGAAAAGTGAGAGAAGACTTCAGAACGAGATTTCATAAAAATATATATGTCATTCAAGAAAAATCATCCACAAAAGTAACAAAATACCGAAAGCTCGGTTTTGACACTACAGGAGAAGGACCCCAAACATCATAATGAACTAATTCAAAAGGATTACTTGACCTTTTACTAGACCGGGGAACAAACGCTAGCCGATGGGCTTAGCAAACTGACATAACTCGCAATCTAAAGACTTACCATGATAAAATTAAGGGTGTAACTATTTCAACAAGGACGGGGAGGGATGACCAAGTCGGCAGTGAACTTCAAAGAGAGTGTGGGTACCCAGAACATACAACACGAGAATCATACTCAATATATGTAGGATATCAAAGATATAGAGCCCTTCTAACACGTGTTATTCACCAATAATCTTCCTCGTCACAAGGTCCTATAACAATCAATGATCGGGAAAGAATGAGACATAACTGTTTAAGGCTTAAGTTAGTTTGTTAATAGAGATGAAATTGAACGCAAGGCCAGGGATAAGTAACACACAATGCAACCGGAAAGATGGTGTAGGATTAGCGTAACTTGGGCATTAGATCTATCCATAAGGTTAACAGATGAATGGCAAGAAGAAATAGAGGATAAAAGGCTCGGGTTACCTGTCATGTGGTCAGTTGCTCCAGTGTCAATGACCAATTTGGAAGAAGAGAAAATGAGACACTTATCTTCTCTTCATTATCTGATTCAGTTGTTGTGTTGATTGACTGAGATGACTTCACCAAGTTGTCTTGGGACATAGTAAGCCGAACATACTCATTGGCAAGATTAGTAACAATGTGAGACTTGCTGTCAGATGTAATCACAATTGTTGTATGAACATTTTGATTCCGATTCTTCAACTAGAATATCTTAGTATGTTCAGGCCATGACAATAATATCAAATGATCCCCCCACTAGTGGAAGTACCACGAGTATCCGATGCCTCTAACTTGACGAGACAGTGTCATCACACTAGCTAACCAATGCATGTACAAGAGTAGAAAAAAAAGAGTGCACATTATCAAAGCGAGAGTGTAGACCGGCCAAAAACTCATCGCCGCCATTTGTTCTCTTTGTTATTGATGAACATGTAAATCAGGGCTAAACGGCCAACATATTTAACTTCTCATAAGTTCTTTTGAAACTCATGAAATATGCCTGAAGTAACTGATCTTTCTGTTCGGCTCGATAAAAACTCTGATAAACATTGTAGATACGCGAAACATTTCCGTCCTCAGAATATAAAAAGCCTAAGTTATCTAACAACTCTTTAACAGTATCACAGGAGTAATTAAACTCACTATACTTGAATTCTTGATTTGGAGGAATAATATGGAATCATCTCTCAACCAATCATCATAACGAGAGTCTGTAGCTAATGGTGGGTCCCTATCTAGATGACAAGGTTCACGTAACACGCGATTAGGTGTGGGACAGCAGTGGATGGAGGGCAGCTGTAGAGATGGCGTCGACTTCAGCAATTCCAACGAAAAACACTGATGAGATCAACCTCCAAACGTCCGATCCCTAAACCCTAGTATAATCGCTTTGATACCATGTAATATTGTATATTCTTATCAATTCAAAACAAAACTAATTTACATATAAATAAAAGTACATAAATCTAGTCTACATTGGACAACTACTTTAGACTAGGCCCCTAATATACAATTAGACCCAATTAAATATATTTACATATATTTAACAGTATCTAACAAAAAGTAAGCAGCAAAGCATCCTTACATGACCTAATGCTAAAGCTAAAGACCAAGGCTAGGGTTTGGCATATGTGAGATAATTTGGATTGAGCATATACTTTCAATACTCAAGTTTGTCAATATTTATAAAATGAAATTATTTCATGATAATCAAGCTGCAAAGCATATTGCTTATAGTATAGTATTTCATGAGTGAACAACACAACTGAGATTGGTATCTTTCTACTGATCAATTTGCCACTGTCCTCACTAAATTTCTTACAGGTCCTCGTATAAGGTGTTTATGTGAAAAGACTAGAATTTATATGCTCCAATTTGAGAGGGAGTGTTAGATAGTATTATGAATTAGGCAATACATAACTGAGCCCATCGAGCTTAATATATACACACACACATATATATTTATATGTACATACTTTGCCATGTTTGTAATCAATTGAAAATAGTAAATTCACGGTGACCATTATTTAACTATGAATAGCTTAATTTTACTAAAACTTTATAATGTTCAAATTCATCTTTATTATATTTTTTAGCAACATAAAATGTGTTTCTTGTTCAACGCACAAGGTCTGACACCTATTAGGAAACAGCATTCCCTCATTTTCTTCATAAAAAATGGGCCATGGAGCTAGAAGATGACAATCTAGCAAAGAATAGTCACCTTAAGATATTTCAAATTGGTAGACAGCTGCTACACCTTGTTTAGAAAGACTAATGACTTATAGAAAGCACACAGATAAAAGCAAAGTTCCTTACTAACATCTAGTAAAAAGGCCAGACAGCCTTCACTTGCTTAGCTAGATGAATTGTTTCTATACTACCCACAGGATAACTTCAGGCATGTTGCCAAATGGAAGGGGTATCAATACTCCTAAGATAAATAAGATAGCGCTAGAGAAGTTTTTACTCACGATGTATCATGCCTAAAGTGTTAGAAATTGAGTATTTACCCTTGACATTGCCGAGACACCAAGAAGTGCGTACACTAGATTGGAAATAATGCCCTCACCACAATGAGAGATGACCCTTATCACCACATCCTGGACAGATTCAGAGGTAGAAGCCTCAGGTTCCAATAGAAGTGAAAGGCCAATCTCCAAAAAGCCTGAAAAGCTCATGGAAGAATTAGGTATGTGATATGTATTGTTTGATGCATTTAAACAAATGAAAGACTGGTGGATAGGAAGCTACACCAAAACAATCAATCTTCCTTATACAACTAATTTAGCTTTCAAACAGCAAAATACCCGAGTTACAAGTTCTGATACATGATGTAATCATATAGAAAATTTAAATGATACTCCTTCCGTCCCAACTCTAAGTACTCTTTTTACTATTTTCATCCGTAGACAAAAAGGTATTCATTTCCTATTTTAATAAAAGTAATCATACATTAATACTAAAGTACCCTTAACTTTTATCTAACTTACAAACATACTATTACACATACAATTAATTTATACATAAAGTCAGAACGGAAAAAATATCAAAACTTCTTACACAATTCCACTAACCAATAAAATATTATTACTTCTTACCGTACTAAGAGACTATTCACTCATACCATGTAATCTATAATTTCACAAAGAATTCATATATACCTTTAAAAAATAATAATAAAAAATAAATTAAAACTAAAGAAAGAAATAAAAAGAAGCCTTACAGATCATATAGGACATTGCTGATAAAGCTGCACCGCGATGTAATGCTGTACAACATATTCCAGCTTTCTGCAATGATACTTCAAGAAGGGGACCAGAGGCAGCTAATACCTCCTGAAATGCATATCAGTAGGAATTATGGTGGATATTATCAGAACATAAAGTAAATTGAAAAAGAGTTCGGGCAGGTAGCTATGCATTTCTGAGGAAACTTCAATGACCTCTAGTAAAATATTTACTTATTTTAAAGTTTGTAATCAGCAGATACAAAGATGTAAGAAACATGACATAGGCACCTTTGGACAACTGCACACATAAGCATATGTGAAATTTGTGTACGCCTCGACCAAGTCAGGCTCTTGATCACATACATAAGACGAAGTAAGAGCCATTACTGATGTTGAGTGAGTAAATCTTTCGAATGCACTAATGAATAGAGGTCCAAATTTTCCCATGCTACCAAATTCTTCAACAATCACAGAAGCTGGAAAAAATTAATGATAATGAGATTCAAAAAGCATAGAAAAGATGAGGCAACACCCAAAACCACAAAGCAACAGAACCTAGCTGAAAAAGGAAGTTATAAAGAACCTGAGAACACTCTAAAAGGGCACACTACAGAACTAACGTATATTTCTTATTCCAACTGACGGATGCCAAAGTAGCAAGCATCTAACTAATATATTAATAAAATTTGACATTACTGGTTAATTATGCATTATCATGTATAGATAACTCATAAACTGTAATTAGATTTTATTAACCTTCACTATTATTCATATTTAGGCACATGACAAGATTTTCATCACATGTCACCTGCTCTTATGTAGCATTCATGACTTTGGAATGACATGAAATTGCTTGTAATAGATTCCAAAACCTTTGGCAATCGTTCTTGGAAGTTCTGACCTGAAAATAAACTTAACAGATAGTCAGATACTATAGAGTGTACTTCTTACTTTGAAATATTAATATAGACACAAAAATTTATACAACAGGACATTGTAACGTTGATGATAAACAAAAGATTCATTCTATAGAATGAACTGCTGAACCAATACCATTTTCTCCCCACATTTTTCCACATCTGTGCATTATGTTACATCGTGAAACCTAGCATATGAAATTTTATCACGCATGAATAGTCATGAACATAAAAATTTGATAGTTTTTGAGTTTTGCCTGGGTTTTTGAAGTTAGTACCTACCTCATCTCAGGTATAAACAGTTAAGTTATTTAACTTTTAGTATCTTAAAGACAACCTTAATATTTCTCTATGCTCTTTACCCCTCCATAATATTCAGTAAGAGGTATCATTTTATCTTTCACAATTTCACATTCTTATCATCAACATGAGAACTAGAGGTAAGCTATTAACATAACACTATACCTATCTATTTGATATGATAGCATGCAATATAAGTAACTTAATGATAACTATCTGGTCATCTGTCATCAGTCATCATTGTATCGAGCCCACATCACAGATTTCAACTGGTCAACTAGTCCAAAATAAAATATATGAAAACAGTGAAACCTGATGCCTGGACTGCAAGTGTAAGAGTCCTGCAAGCAGCTACAGACAAGCTCGAATTTGCAATGTGACTGGACAGAAGGAGCTGCTCAAGCATTGGCCACAACACTTCAAGCAAAGAAACTATAGATTCCTCTGGTCCCATTACAGTAGAACAATGTGTTGCAAGACAATTAAGTACAGTTCCAATCCTGAAATAAAACAAGTGATTTAGCTACAAGATGTTGATATTTGAGATGTTTTAAAATATATTTAGAAGAAATATATTATATTTATGGTAGTTGTCTTATTTAGGGTGTGTTTGTTTGGGGGTTTGGATTTTGAGTTGGGATTTGAATAGTAAAAATTTTGAATTTGAATAGTCGTATGATGTGATATAAATAGGTGTTGATGTGATATTTTGAATGTAAAATTGATTCTTAGTATAATATAAAAAATGAAAAATAGGTGTTTGATTTGATATTTTTTGGGTGAAAACATGGGATGAATAGTGGAAATCTAATCCAATCCCCCAAACAAATGCACCCTTAAGAGATTCGTAGAATTCTTACCTTATTTAGATGATTTGTATATTACTATAAATATGTACGTATTCTTACGAATGATATAAAGAATTTCAATTTCATATTCTAACAAGATGTAATGCGAGGTCTCGACAATATATGAAAAGCATCAATGGATGAAGGAAAGCAGAAAAAAGAAAGTGAATGTTTGTATCACTGGATCTTTAACTCTTATACATGAAATCACTAAATTCAAATATTAAAGCATGAAACCAGCATGACAAACAAACCAACAGGCAAAGACAAATATATAGCTTGCCTATGCCATGCCATTCATTCTGTTGTAATTAAGTAGATGCCATCTTGTAAATAACGTCAAACTTAAACTGATCTTTTCCATCTTCACTATCAAAGCAAATTTTGGTTATTGCAGTCACAAAATTAAATGTTTTTTAATTAAAAACCAAAAAAAAAAACAAACAGACAAAAAATCATAACATAAACAAATTCTGAAATGCAAAACAGGATACATCTCGTAAGACCATGGTTGTCACGGCGCCCTTTTGCGGCGCGGCGCTAGGGGACCACCATACCACCATGGCGACGTGGCGCCCACCATGGCGACAAAATAGCAAACGCGGCGTACTATGTATAAAATTAAATAGATATATATATTTTTATAAATATCATAAATCCGTAAAAATAATACATTATCAACTTCCTATTAATCTTCAAAGTTTCATATGCCTTCAATCATAAAAAGAAATATAATACCATAAAAAATATAATTTCAATCATCAAACAAAACAAAATACTATCTATGAATCTCTAAACCGCCAATTTTATCATCTCAAATTTCAACAATCAAAGAGCTCAAGTCCACCACTACCACTAAGAATATCTTCCAAATCATCATCATCATCAATGTCATCATCTAACGATACATCTTCATCGTTTAATTCTTGCTCCATCAATGCCAAAGTTGACGCTTTCTTAGGACGTCTAGAGTATAATTGTATTGATGAACCCGATGTATCTCCGATATTTCCCCTTCTAGGAATATTGCGGCGTTCAAGATTGGCCGATGCACCTATAGCTTCATCAACATGACTCCATGTAAAATCCTCTCCCGAATGAACTACATCATTGGTGTCTAGAATCCACTAATTATCCCATTCAAATTCCTCAACACCAAAGAATTTTAGTTTTTTCCTTCATCGCGCTTCTTTTGAAATCTATTCGTAATTTTTCGATTGTATTGAACGAAAACTAAATCGTTCAATCTCTTATACTCCAATCTATTTCGTTTTTCCGTGTGAATCTAAAAAAAATAAATTATAATATATTAGTATATGACTACGATAGCAATAATGCTTAATATATTATTTATATAAATAATTAAATACTTACAAATTCGAATGAGCTCCAATTGTGTTCACACTGGGAGGACGAACAACAAAGACTAATTATACGGAAGGCAAATGATTGAAGCTCGAAATGAAGGCCTCCAATAATGCTTCTGACCCTCTCATTCAGTGTTCTAATAATCCTTTATGCCACTCCGTTCTGCTGAGGAGTGCTTGGGACAGTCTTGATCATCCGGATCCCGTGTTCAGCACAATACTCGGTGAACTCTGTGCTGATGTATTCATCTCCATTATCCAATTTCAAGCACTTCACCTTCAGGTTAGTTTCTAGTTCAACAGCAGTCTTCCATTCTTAAAAGTATTGAAAACTTCATACTTCTTTTTAAGAAAATAGACCCATACCTTTCGTGTTGAATCATCGATGAACGTTACATAATAGTTTGATCCACCAAAGGAAGAGACTAGTGCTGGTCCATAAACATCAGAGTGAACCAATTCCAACTTCTGAGCTTTCAGTGTCTGCTCCGTCTTTACAAAAGAATCTTTCTTTTTCTTGCCAAGCACACAGGACTCACAAAACTCGGAATCCACCTTCTTTAGATCTGGAAGCTTTACTCTTGCGACAAGCATCTTCATTCATTTTATGCTCATGTGGCCAAGTCGTTGGTGCCATAAAACAAACGGACTTTGCTTCCTGGTTATTGCATTTGCTTCATTTTCAGAGACATCGACCATGTATAGAGTACCTCTCTTCTTGCTCCGGGCAATTACGAGATTGCCTTTGACGATTATCCATTGCCCTCCTCCAAACATGACGTTATATCTCTCATCATCCAGCTGCCCAATGGAGACGAGCATTTTCTTAAGATTAGGGATTACCCTAACGTCATTCAACGTCCAGATCGTGTCCGAAGGAGTCTTTAGATCTATGTCACCCATCCCTGTGATGTCAAGAGAGTCGTTATTAGCCAAACGAACTTTACCAAAGTTACTTGTCTGTAGATTCTTCATCTTCTTCGTGCTAAAAGTAGCACGGAATGATGCACTAGAATCCATAATCCACGACTTAGTTGAATTCTCAACACATGAAATGAGTGCATCGTCTGAGCTGTCTGTAGCGGCATTCACCTTCTTTTGCTCTGGCGGTTTTGAGCATTGATTTCTAAAGTGCCCATACTCTTTGCAATTCCAACATTGAATGTCTTTCCTTGGCTTTGACTAACCCCTCCTTCTGGAATTTGATCGTCCTCTTCCATTCTCCTTTTCTTTCCGTGCTCAACAGGGCGTTTTAAATTTCACCATCGTATATCCTCTCCAATGATGCCATCAAAAGTGAGTTTAGAGTTTCCTGCTGAACTACTGACGTCTATGACTATTCCTGACCAACTTTCAGGTAATGAGGATAACAAGAGCAAAGCCTGAACTTCATCATCAAATTTAATATTCACCGACAACAACCGGGATATTATAGTATTGAATTCGTTTATATGCGATGTAACAGACCCACCTTCTTTCATTCTCGTATTCACTAATTGTCTTTTTATAAATACCTTGTTGGAAGCAGATGGCTTCTCGTACATGTTTGTCAACGTCCTCATCAACCTATATACGGTAGTCTTCTTTAGAATGGTAAGTCCAACGTTTTTGGCTAGCGTAGATCTGATAACTGACAAGGCTTTCTTGTTAAGGATTGTCCATTCATCATCGCTCATCTTCTCTGCTTGTCTTCCTGTCAAAGGCAAATCCAGATCCTTCTGGCAAAGCAAATCCTCGACTTGCACCTTTCACCAACCGAAATCTTTTCCGTCGAACTTATCAATCTTGGTCTTTCCGTCCTCAGACATGATTTAATCATGCAAATACGAATTCTGCAATTTGCGGGATGCGTCGGACGGATCTGCAGCGTGCTGTCGGCGATCAGGGCTGTCGAGTAGACTGGGCGACGCTGCTGCGGGATATGACGCACTGACGGGGCTGACAGCTGACGGGTCTGACGGCTGATATGGCTGACGCTGCTCTGACACAGTTCTACCCTGCTCCAATTGCGGTGTGTTTTGCTGTTCTTGAACAAGTGTGACTCTAGTGAACAACCTCGCTTTGATACCACTTGTTATGATTAATTTTTACACGCACACAAATAAGAAAGTAGAACACAAAGAATTACGTGGTTCGGCCGATTAGGGTTATCGACCTACGTCCACGGGGGCAACCAGAAAAAGCTTTTCTTATTACTGTGAGGCAGCTATATCTTTTACAAGTACAAGAGGGGGTATTTATAGACTAGGTTTAAGGTTAATAACAATTGGGCCCAAACTCCTAAAGAAGCCTAAACTTAACAGAATACCAATGAACAAGTACCTGAGGGCTTCTCAAGACGGTTGATTAAAGACCTTAACCTCTCAATTTCCTCCTGATTAAGGCCACACAGCTCTTCACTTTGTGGTACAGTAGCGACATGTACTCGTCCAACATGGTTTAGGGGCCCTTTATTCCTTGATTGGTCTCCCCTTTATTCCACTCTCGGCTTGAGGGCTTTCCATGAAGCTTCCAACATTTCTCTCGAGTATGCCAAGGTTTTTTGCAATAAGTACAAGACAACTCGTCGCGTCTGTAACTTAGGTTGAATACTCATTGTTTCAAGGGCTACTATTTTTTCTGGGTCCAAGGCTGTTTTGGTATCATTAGCCACCATAGCTACGCTATCAACACTTTATGGTTCTAACATCACAAACCTCCTACTTTCTTCTCCTCGAATAAGTGCTACAACTTCATTGAGGTTTGGAAGTTCCTGTTTACCAAGGATCTGGACTCTCACTTGATCAAATTCTGGATTTAGACCACATAGAAAATTATAAAACCCTGTCTTTCTCAAGAAATTCCTTTAGAACTGCTGCATCTGCGGAGCACTTGGTGTTTATTACCCTGTAATGGTCAAGTTCCTGCCACAATGATTTTAATTGATTGGCATACTCAGTTACAATTTTCGTCCCTTGTTTTGCAGCCATCGTTTTCATCTTGACTTTATACATCTGAGCCGCATCTTTAGACTTGGAATAGGTTTCTTGAATAGCATCCCAAACATCCTTGGCACTATTCAAGAACATGCAAGTATCGCTGATTTCAAGGATCATAGAATTCCATAACCAAGCCATTATCATAGAGCCTTCTTCATCCCATGCTTCAAATTTGGGATCTTTAATGAGATGACTAATTTTTCCTTTTCCTTTCAATGTTGCTTGGACGAGTTGAGACCATTTGAGGTAGTTCTTTCCATTTAGTCTATAAGCAAACTGGATGCCTTGAAGTTCGCCGGCATGTTGGACTCGGATTTCCTCCCCGGACTGTGCAGTCTTTGGTTGGTCGGACATATTATAACTTGCAGCCTCCGGTGATTAGGACTAATAAACTTTGAGAAATAGTCCAAAAAACTCAGCAATTAAGGCTGGTCGAATGGAGGAAAGAAACCTTAGCAAAATCAAGAACAGTTCCCAAGAAAGAGCTGCTCTGATACCATCTCAGATTTTGAATAGAACAATCAAATGAAGAAGAAAAATAATTCTCTCAAAAAGTTATGTCACCTTACATACAAGGATAGGAAGACTTATATACAAAAAAATCTAATAAAAATAGAAGGAAAATATCCTAAATCTTATCCCATGAATTATGGGATCATCCTCTACCTTATCCCATGAATCATGGGATCTCCAACTGCATAAAGGAAACAAGATATTTGTTTCCTAAAATAACTGATTCACATATTTTTCCGCATCTATATCTCATTTTGATTGTTACCTCCTTACATATTTGATAATGTAAAACTAGACTACATCTTGTACGGCCAACTTAGTGTGTTACAGCTGCATAACCAAACTTTTCCCTAGTTGCACAGATAGTCATTCTCTCAAACTTACAGTACAATATTTGGGCAATCGCCATAAAAATCAATAACTTATTAATTCAAGAATATACAATCTATACATGTTATCCAATGTAGTAGATAAAAATAAATCAATGGATAATGAATAAATAGCATTAAGGTTTTCTGATATACTGTGACCTGGCAACATTTGTGATATCGCAAGGCAATTGGTAAAATTTCAATTTCTAAATAATATTATAGTAACAAGAGAAAGTTCATTAAAATATACTCCCCTGTCCCAAACTTTTGCCACTACTGTCCCAAAATTTTTGCAACTTTACTTTCTTTATACTAAGGTTTTTTTCCCTCTTTTACCCTTATAAATATAATTTATAAAATCATTCTAAACAAAAATAATGCTAAAATGGTAAAAAACTACCAAAATTAACTACCTAAAAACCGTGTCAAAAGCAGACATTGCAAAAAAGTTATGGGGCAGAGTGAGTACAAACTAATATTGTCTATGCTAACAATGTAAATGATGAATGAATGATAAAAACATGATAATAAAAGGCAATGTCAATACTGGATTTCTTCACCCAACCTATTTTTTTGGTGGCACGATTTTTCCATAAATATCATAAAAAATACAATATATACATATTAACACAATATATGTAATATGTATATATTCTATTAACACAAAAAAATCAACAATTCAATACAAAATATTATTTTTTATATTCTCGACATGATTACCCATACCTAACATAAAAAAAAAACACATTCATCTAAAAACACAAAGTGAACACAATGATTAATATGACTGGCTGACACCGGGAATTGAACCATTAAAGTAAGCATCCAATATCAGCCTTCTATTCAACATCAATTGTTACTTAATTATCAAATGCTCGAATCTTGTCAAGGATCCCATGTCATATGGCAAGACATTCCATTTTTCATCAAACAGTTATACATTGACAATGAAAAATTCTACGCAGTACAAGAATCCAGCCAAAAATATAACAAAGGCCAACATGATTGCATTGTATAGGTCTAGTAAGATATTTTGGGAGTTTACAAGACCATTGGAAGCAATTAGCAAATTAAAACAGTATCAGATTGAAAAAAAAAAACCAACAAAAAGAAAAAAAAAAAAAAAATTCCCCCAGTTTTTCCTTGCACAACTCATAGCCTCTTGTGAAAAAGTAATATCTATTACATTTTATCTTATATTCAATGATATCCGTAACATAACAATATAATGTCAAGTTCTTAAATAAAATGATTAAAGATGTGCAAATATATAATTTAATGAATGTTAATCATTATTGACATTTGACTAGAAAATAATAGTAGTAAATTATTGTAATTGAAAATGAAAACATGATATTGTTCGAAGGATACAGATCATTACAAACTTTTTAAATAAAAAAGAGGTTTATAAAATATCTGATTTGAACTATATACTCTGTAATATTATTTCAAATTAAAAATAATTATCAATACAAATTTAATAATGTCATGATTATAATTAGTTGTTACAATAATATAATATCTTACAAAACACCTCACCATTTCATACACACTTTTAATCCTATTTAACTAAATACTCGAATAATTTATTTTAAAAACAAAACATCATAAGACATGAGGCTCGCAAAACCTCTAAAAGAAACTATTCCAAATAGGATCCTAGTGCTTTGGAAACAAAAGGATCCACTCAATACAGGTATACTGAACAAATCAAAGCACTTGTTGTTTGGTTTTCGTAATTCACTTTCTAGACCTTTGTAACTATAGTTATGTTCACTCTAATAAATCTCCTTATTGCAAAATAAATAAACAAATAAATAACACACACATGGCGCTGGAAAAATGGCTTAAAGTGAATAAACTTTTTATAAGTGAGAGGTAAGCTAAGCTTAATAAATTATTCACGCAACACTCCCATGACTAATATATGTTAAGCTAGGGAACAATAGAAGGAATACAGTTCACCAAGGAACACACAAAGGTACAAACCTATGTAGCCCTCTTCTTGCAGCATCAATTGATTCACTATGTGTAGATGGGCTTTGCCTCAAAGTATGCCTCAGGTCTTCTTCAACCTGAAATGATTTTGGAACTCCTTAGTGAATTAGAATTTGCAGAGCAAAGTTAAGAGAGGTTGTTCAATAATTCTTTGACTAATTTAAGGTGGTTGCTTTCTGGGAGAAGGGATGGGGGAGAGGATCTTAAGACAGCATTGTCAGAAAGAGACACACTTCAGGAAAGAGTGCTGGGACAAACTTATATATATTTGTACATTTTTTCTTTAAAGTTTGAATTATTGCAATGATTGAGAGAATCATTAGATACATGAAGCCAAAGAAGGAAACAGTAGGAAAGAGTGACAAACTAAAGCCAGACAGATATAGGTACTACATACTCCCAAGGAGAAAATATTAATTTTATATACATCTACACATTTGGTTGCATTGTCCAAGGTCAGTTGGGAGAATGGATCCTCAAGAGATAGTCCTGCTGAAGAATCCTCCCAACATTTAGCAACTCCAACAATGCACATCCCGCTAAACAAGGAAGATAGGGACTGTAATTTGACCATGGCTCTTTTATCAATTCAATAATTGCAACACAAATAATAGCCTTACAGAACTAAGAGTCATAATCCAAAGGATTACCATTCAGCACCATGCAATATAAGGGGTCATGAAAATTGAGAAACTTGAAGTACAATTGGAATTTAATATTAAAATTATGGATGCATCCAGTGGTGTCAGAAGCATTTGTAAGTTATCAAGAACTGTAAAGACAGTATTCAGAATCAGCACTGCATCTTTCGGGAATCTACCTTTCCCAGCAATCAAATTGACTTGAAAAGTGTTACTCCATACAGAAATGTGAAACATTCCCAGAAAATCAAATTCTTTCAAGAAAATCCACTGGTTCCAAAAACAATGCAGTGGCACTGGCAAGACATTAGTTCTAAGTTCATGTATCTCTGCCTCATGATGGGAATGCATGAAGAGGATCTTTTAAAACATTTACTCCAACCATTCTAGTGTTACAAAAGTTAACGCGCCTTAAATCACAAGTGCTTAGCAAAATTCATGCAACCAAACTGTTGAAAGTTCCAAGCCTACATTGGAGCTCCAATTTCTTCATACCACTCCTCAACCTCACAAAATTCATAAGGTTCAACACCAAAACCTAAATAAATGAGCAAATATTGGGTACAGTATTGTGCATGTACTAGAATCATATAACATCTCACCAAATACATTGCTACATCTCAGCTCACATAAATAGATCTTCATATACATCTCTTCCCAATAACAGAACATACCTTTTATATAACAACTTCCAAAAGCACCTTTAACCAGGATTTAGCACAAACCCTACAAACATTTTGCCTGCATTGTATGCAATGATAGCAAAACTGCTAGATTGGTTCATTTGATCTTTTTTTTTTTTTTTTTGTTGGGAAAGAAAGAAAGTTATTTAATATAAGAGATAGAATGGTTAAAACCAAAGGAGCAAAGGGGCTAAATAGTCAATATGGGAGCAAAATCATAGGCCAAAAAACTGGTCTAGAATTACAACCAAACTAGAAGAATTTTGTTTCCTATTGCTCAACATCTTGTGGTGGAAGGTAATGTAGGGGAATTTGAAGATGTTAAGGCTATAAGAAAATAGAAGGGGGAACCAAAGACAAGTAGAACGAGCGGTAGAAAAAAAAATCCTTCTCTATCACATTAAATCTTGAAGAATTGATAACTTACAAATGGAATGAGCACCCTAATATATACACCTAGCTAAAGAGGGAACTAATGTATATCTAAATTGTCAAAGAGTAGTTGAGTTGTAAGCTCTGTAAATATGTTAGGAAAATCAATTTGTAACCCCTTAAATTGAGGGAATTAGTCAATCCCTTTAATTGAGTGAATTAGTTAGTTTGTTTCCAATCTTTTCCTTCTCGTTGTAATCTTATATTTGTTTCTATCTTTTCTTTCTCCTTGTAATCTTCTATTTAAGACCGTTTACTATCAATTCAAATAAATGTGGAAATACATAATCTTTTTTCTCTCATCTCTAATTTCCCACATGGTATCAAAGCTCTAGTATTTTCTTTCTAGGTTTCGTAGTCTTCTTCTAGCAATCTTCATTGCTGTATTTATGTTCCAACTTTTATTAATGTGAATTTCTCTTCTTCACCAAGTCATGTCTGAAACCACCATCTCCAACAATTTCAACCCCTCCGAAGAATCCAATTTTGTTCAGATAATTTGAGAATTGCAGCCTGAGGAAAATCCAACAATAAAGGAGTTCAGCAATGAAAAATTGAGAAGTTGAGAAGCTTGTTGGGGTCTCTTGAGAAGCCTATTGGAGCATGTTCAATGGCTCTTTCACGTAAACCTGTTTGCATAAGTGTCTTAGACAAATTATATACCGACTCTTGGATCATGGACTCCGGTGCTATAGACCATATGATCCTCACATCTCAACTCTTCCACACCTATACCTCATGGCCAAGTAAGAGAAAATTTGTCGTGGCCAATGGCTCCTTAGCCACTGTTGCAGGGATTGGAGATTAACATACCACACCTAGCTTTATCCTTAAAAACGTTCTCCATGTACCCAAACTGTCAACAAGTCTTGTGTCCATTCAAAAGTTGACTCGTGACCTCAAATCCTATGCAGTTTTTTGTTCTTCTTATTGTGTTTTTAAGGTCTAGGACTCGGGGAGGACGATTGGACTTGCTAAGGAAATGAACAGTCTTTACCACCTTGAACCATCCAAAAAACTTGTCTTCTTTCCTTAGTTCTTCGAATAAAAATGTCATTTGGCTATATCACCTACGTCTTGGTCATCCCTCTTGAAGGTTTTAAAAATAATGTTTCCTCATTTGTTCCAAAGATCAGATATTTATGAGTTCCATCGCGACATCTGTGAATTGGCAAAACATACCCGTGCATCTTTCCCTATTAGCAATAAAAGAAGTATTCATCCTTATCATTTGATTCATAGTGACATATGGGGCTCTTCCACTATACCTAATGTTTCTAGGGCTCGTTGGTTTGTGTCCTTAATTGATGATTGAACTCGAGTTACATGGCTCTTTATTCTTAAACAAAAATCTGATGTTAGCACTGTTATACCTAATTTTTATTCAATTGTTCAAAATCAATTTTGGGTCAAAATAAAAAGCTTTGAAAATCAATTTGGGGTCAAAATAAAAAGCTTTAGGACTGACAATGCTAGAGATTATTTCAATCAGATTCTATCACCTTACTTTCAATCATAGGGGATTATCCATGATTCATCATGTGTGGACACACCTCAACAAAATGGGTGGATGAAAGAAAAAATGGGCATTTACTCAACACCACCCGAGCCTTACTGTTTCAAGGGACTGTTCCTAAGTCCTATTGGGGAGAAGCCGTTCTTACTACCACATGTATGATAAATAGACTTCCTTCGCATGTGTTAAGAAACAAAAGCCCCGTAGAGGTCCTTCATAGCTTATACCCTCACTTCAGAACTTCAAATGGCCTTATTCCTAGGATATTTAGATGTCCACAAACAACATAGAGGGAAACATTACCCTAGAGCCATCAAATGTGTTTTTCACGGTTACTTTCCACTCAAAAGGAATACAAGTGTTACAACCCCTTGACTAGAAAATTTTACATTTCTACATATGTCACTTCCATAGAAAATAAACCATCTTTTTATGTGGAAGATAGTACTTGTGAGTCCTTCGAACCACTTAGAACCCTTGACCTTCCGCATGTGCTAGCCCGTGTTCTGCATGTGCCAGCCCATGTTTTTGAACCTGAATCCTCAGCGTCCTTAGAGCCAAACTCTCCTCATGTTCCATCTGAACCCGAGTCCTCTAAACCAGTCACATTTGAGTCAACCGACCCTGTCACTGAACCCATACCACCTCCTTCTCAAACCAGCATCACTCAAAATTTCCCAAAATTTCCTCAGGTGTATTCAAGGAGAAAGGGTGCTCCTGACACAAGTCCAAGAATTCAATCCAAATTCTGGGAATGAAACCACGGTAAGATCAGACCCACCTTTACACACACAATTTGTTGAACAATCCACTGATTCAACAAATATTCTGGATCTTCCCATTGCTATTAGAAAATGAACCAAGGAACCAGAGAATGCACTAAACGACCACTTTATCCACAGTCTCACCATGTCTGTCTTAAGCGCCTATCACCGGCCCAAAAAGGATTCATTATGAGTTTGAACACCATTGTCATCCCTAACAATGTGTCTTAAGGCATTATCAAAAATAGAATGGAAGGATGCTATGAAAGAAGAGATGAGTGCATTCGAAAAGAAAAAAAACATGGGAGATCGTTGATAAACCGAGGGAAAAAAGTATTGTTGATTGCAAGTGAATTTTTACATGAAGTACAAGGCTGATGGATCCCTTGAAAGCTTTTAAAGCAAGGTTAGTAGCAAAAGGGTACACTCAAACTTATAGGGTGGACTATCAAGAAACTTTTGCACCAGTTGCAAAAATAAACACGGTAAGAATTTTGTTATCATTGGTTCCTCACTTTAATTGGCAACTGCTACACTATGATGTTAAGAATGCATTCCTCCATAGGGACTTAAATGAGGAAATTTACATGAACATCCCACCGGGATTTGAAGGGGACACGGGTAACAAGGTGTGCAAGCCCAAAAAAGCCTTTTATGGGTTAAAAAAATCTCTTAAAGCATGGTTTGGCAGATTTGCAGAAGTCATGAAGAAATCTGGGTACAAACAAAGCCGTGACCACACTCTTTTTATTAAGAATTCAACTATAGGGGGAATGAGTGATCTTTTAGTCTATGTGGACGACATCATAGTGACTGGAAATGATGAGAAAGCGAAGCATGAATTAAAGCTGAGACTAATGAAAGAATTTGAAATAAAGAAACTAGGGAGATTTAAGTACTTCCTCGGTATTGAGGTGGCACATTCTAGACAAGGGATCTTCATATCTCAAAAGTAAGTGATTGACTTATTTGCAGAAACAGGGAAGATTGGGTGTAAACCAATCTCTAATCCAATAGATCCAAACTATAAATTGAGAGAAGCTAAAGAAAAACCAACTGTAGATAAAAGCATGTACCAAAGGTTGGTTGGCAGACTCATATACCTTGCTCAAACTGGACCAGACATAGCATATTCTGTAAGTATGATCAGTCAATTCATGCATGATCTAAGAGAACCTCACATTCAGGTCGCTTATTACTTGAAAGGCAATCCAGGGAAATGAATCTTGTTCAAAAAGAGTGATATTTTTACTCTTGAAGCCTACACCGATGATGACTATGCCGGCCCCCTAGTTAATAGAAGGTCAACCACAGGGTATTGTACTTTTCTTGGAGGTAACCCAGTGACATGGAGGAGCGAGAAACAGAATGCAGTGGCAAGGTCATCTGCGGAATCAGAATTTAGGGCTATTGCTCAAGGATTATGTGAATTAATTTGGATGAGGATCATTTTGGATGATTAAGAGTTAAATGGGAAGGTACTACGAAGCTTTAATGTGACAACAAGTCAGCTATTAATATAGCTCATAATCCTATACAACATGATAGAACAAAGCATATTGAAAGTGATAGACATTTCATCAAAGAAAAACTGGATAAAGGGTTAGTATATATGTCCTATGGTCCATCAGAGAGACAATTAGCCGATTATCTAACAAAAGGTCTGAACAGTTCGAGTTTTCATGATATTGTATCCAGGCTGGGAATAAAAGACATATATTCCTCAGCTTAAGGAGGAGGGTCAGAGAGTAGCTGAGTTGTAAGCTCTGTAAATATGTTAGGAGAATCAATTTGTAATCCCTTAAATTGAGGGAATTAGTTAATTTGTTTCCTTTTTTTTCTCCTTGTAATCTTCTGTTTAAGACCATGTATTATCAATTCAAATAAATGTGGAAATAAATAATTTTTTTCTCTATCTCTAATTTCCCACACATATGCATATCTATGTACTTGCAGTCTTACAACCACTACTGTTGCTATCTTGCCCAGACCTTGTTGTTGTCACCATTTTTCCGTTAATGCCCCCTCCCCTTTTCCCACCATCACCACTATGCCGCATCGTCAACCACGCAATTGCACAAACTCTTTAATCGATTTCATGACCTCTTGTACAAACTCAAGTTGGTCTTCAATACCACATTGAGTTTAAGGAGACATGTTGTGAGATATATTTACATATTTTGTAATTATAGTGCTAGTCTTATTTAGGAGATTCATAGTATCCTAAACTTGATTTGTGATACCCCAAAGTTAAGTTGAATTTAAGTGGATCGATCAGACTACTCATGTCGACCATATCTACATTCTCTTTCAGGAGCCCACTTGAAAGAACTTACAAGATGAGTAACCTCTGGGAAGTATCCCAAGGTGTGTGCATGTAAGAACAAAGCACCAGTCTACGATCCTAAAGCATATGTCTGGCTTGTGTGACTAACGGCCGGGGTGTTACATGATTAGTATTGGAAAACTATATAATATGTAATTAGGGGTGCATTTCTCTATTAGCTTAATTTTTTAGTCATTTAATATAGTATAGAATTTAGAGCCAAGTTCAAAGGAATTAGTTGGTGGATCGATCTGGGTTGGTTATGGGATGCCTTAGCCCTCGTTGACATAGTGATTGGGAATCAGAACTTGCATTTGATGTTTTGTCGAAAGTCTTCCTGACAATGTGGTGGCCGGATGGACACCACATCCCAACAATTGTGGTCAAGTAGCAGATCTCTTTGATGATAAAGGCGATGCAAAATGTTTGGCGGATCAAATGGAATTAGCAAGTCTCTTTGATGATAAGGGCGATGCAAAATGTTTGACGGATCAAATAGAATATCCGTGGAGGAGAGGATCCAATATTTGGTCCTTGGTTTGAGAAGAGGATTTGTTAGGGAAAAAAACAAAATCTAGTCCCCCATAGGACAAATAAAGTAAAGAATAATTGGTTATAAGTTAAAATCTAGTCCACATAATATGAGGTCTTTTGAAAAAGTCTAAAAGAAAATCCGTGCCGGTTTAGCCCAAAACAGACAATATCATACTAGTGTAAAGTTAATTCGTATCATTTCAGAGTAGGAGTTAGATTAAGCTTTTAGCTGAGATAGTCATTTAATAATTAGAATATTTGTATTTTGCTATAATTATGCATTATCTTTATGAATGAATGAAAAAATTACTCTTATAAAACTAAAAAGAACTAGTGTGAAAACTATTGGTGGATATTCACCCTGAATCTCTCCAATAACAATAAAGGCAATTTCAGCCAAGTACATGCAGAATCTTAGCGATCAGATATAAAAGAGTCTTCCTAAATAAGAACTGTTTCGGTTATAACAGGTGCTAGATCTAGATGGCTCAAATCAGAGAAGAATGAAAAACGTTAACAAAATAAGCTGTTAAAAATTTTCACCTTGAAGCTCACTCAGCAACAATAAAGGCAACATCAGCCAAGGTACATGCAGAATCATAGAGGTCATATATACAAGAAGTATCCAGACATAAAACTAAATGCAGACCTGTGTACCAGGGTTTGTAGGAATACGTTGGAATTTGGCATCTCACTACATTACGTCATTGCTTGTTGAATTTGCATACAAAATATTGTATTTTCGCTCATTTTGAAAAAAAAAAAAAAAAAACTCATAAGTCATTTAAAGATTCATCAAGTTTTAAATTATTTACGATATTCAATAAAGTTGAAGTACAATATCAAAAATCAATTGAGTAATACAATCACGAAGGCTTATCACAGAATTACAAACAAATATCTAGGGGTAAAATATTTGTAAAAACCGATAGTGCATTTAAGGAAAACATCAAGTCATTAAGTGAAAACTCAGGCCCGTGGGGCATTCTCTATGATTGCCTTTATAAAAGGAAAATTTACAAGGCAGGCATACCAGTTCTTGAATGGCTTTATAAGAAGGACAAAGCAATCTGACAAAAAGGTCCTTCATCAACTTTGTTTCAGGTATGCAGCAAAACACCAGAGTGATGGCACCAACTACTTCATCCTCATCTTCTAAGGCCAGTTTCCTCTTTTCCAACCCCTAACAGACATTTCTGTATAGTTACTACACAATAAACATGCATGTGTTCAGGTCAAGGAGAAGATGTTTTGTGGTGGACTTATTACTACCTAAGAGTACATGATTTACACACCCTAGATGTGCATGTCAGTATTATGTGTGCTACAAATATGCCTTCAGTATTTTCAAGAATCAAAATCTATTCACCTTTTTTATTACATTTACAAATTTATACTATCTGCCTTCTTTATCTGTAATAGCTCAAGGACTAAAATATAAATCCGTCCGAAAACAAAATAGTGCAATTGTCAAGTATCTCACAACCGAAATCTTATTTCCTGTCTCCAGACCAGAATCACAATAATACACCTATATGGGTTATTAATCCATTATGTGTATACATATGTATATATATATATAAAGATAAATGATAAACTCCATGAATGCTGACCTCGGCAATCCAAATTAAGATTTCCAAAGTGGAAGGCTCATTCACCATGGCAGCAGCTTCTTCACAGAATTTGCGAAATGCTAGAGCACAAGCACTCGAACAAAATGGTTGAGAAATCCCAGAACCCAAAAATAATCTGCAAATAGTAGGTAAAACACTAACTTCTATTACAAATTAAATAAGAGATGAGGGCTGAATTGATAAAATATAGCATGGTAGAGTGTCAGTAAAAAGGTTTCAGAACCAGATAGATTCCTCCTCTTACAGACTGACATGAATTCGTGCTAGTGCAAATTAATACAATGCTATGCAACATATATTTACATCAACTGTCTTGTGTTGATTGGAGAAGCTGACATCCACTTAGCATATGAGCCAACAACTTCTGAAAGGGATTTATATACCTGGGAAGAATAGCATGAGAGAGTAAAGATTGTCAGATGCCATGATATTGTTGCTATACACGTTTGATGCTCTTTCAAGACAGAAATTTTTCCTTTCTTCCAGGTCAGTAATGACTTAAAAACGGAGAATGATAATTGTCAGCCTCGGGAAGGGATGACCAGCCCCCCGCCCCCCCTCTCACATTAATATATATACATATATATGTATGTATGTGTGTATGTATATACTACATACATATATATGTGTGTATACATATACTGCATGTGTATATACACTGTATGTGAGTGGGGCGTGGGGAGCTGGGAGGGGAGGGGGGCTGATGATCCCCTCCTGTCAGCCTCTTCTGTCTTTTGAACTCACAATACTACTAATATGAATTAAAAAAAAATAAAAAATAAAAAAAATAAAAAAATAAAAAAAAAAAACTTTTAGATGAGCAGAATGCATACAAGGCACATAAATCCCCTTTTGTCGGCAGAGGCCTTGCTGGACAAAATCACCACCAACTGCATAACAATGGAAATATCAAAAGGATGTCCCTCCTTGACAACAACCTCAGCAACCTAAAAGAAGCCCGTATTCAAAAATTTTAATAACAAGTAAACATACCAATTGTAAATAATCACATAAAGGTCAGATTTCAGCTACCACAAAATTGACATGATAATAGCAAAAATATTAAGGGGTAAAAAATCAACATGGCATTTATCTAATATACAAACCGCATTTATGATGAATAACTTTGCTTCAATCTCTCTCCAAGAAATATCCATGCTGGACGGGATCCAACTTCCAATAAAGATCTAATGTGTCAGTTTTACAAAAAAATAATTAATTAATTAATTAATGATAACAACTTAATTAAATTAAAAAATCAACCATGATAAAAATATCAATTCAGACATACATTTTGCTCACAGTTACAACATAACTAGATGGACATAGGCATACCTCCAATACATAAGTATTAGAGCAACTCATAAAAAACTATACGACATATCACCAACTATTGAGCAATTAGACTGTCATAGATGAGTGTTATGGACCCGGCACATAATATTAAAAATCAGCCACCTTAATTCTTTCGATATGGTTCGATGGTTTCCTGTGCCCATATTTAGTAAATAAAGCAATTCATAACTCCATTATCTCAACTCCATGAATCAACAAATGAAATAGCAATAAAACACTGCAAGCTAAAACACTGCCCATATTAGAAAATTAAAATTGAAAAAATAAAAACAAAAACCCAGCAAGCTAATAACTTTTTCTTATTAAATAATGAACATATCCACATCTCTCATCTTAAAATCCATGTCTCACATCCCTCTCTTACACTGCAAGCTTTTATTAGAAAATTAAAAATGATAAAATAAAAATAAAAACAAAAACAAAAACCCAGCAAGCTAATAACTTTTTCTTATTAAATAATGAACATATCCACATCTCTCATCTTAAAATCCATGTCTCACATCCCTCTCTTTCAAGAGAATTTGAAAGGACTAAGAAATCAAGAATTGATTGTTGCAGCTTGGATGGCAATTTATATTCGAGATTATCTACGTTTAGAATGCTGCCCTAACCAATAAAGAATGGTCTCATGATTTCCTATTATGAACTTAGGTTCTGGTTAGAGATTTGGAGAGGTGACAATCTTGTCATTTTCATTTGCTTGATGGACAAACAATTCCTGTTGCGTGATACCTTAAGATGTATAGCAAGCTGCATGATATGCTTCTGCAAATGGGGAGATATTAAAATGTTGGTAATCAGACTCGTTCTTTTCTGTTCTCATTTTTCTTTTTCCTTTAGTTTGCTCATACAGAAGGTAAAATTGAACCCAACATATATATGATATGTTCTCAGAAGAAACCAAACATGTTTCAATACAAGGCCTCAAGGTTATGACCAACCCTGGTAAACAAACCACACAAAAAGTGGGTGAAAACTAGGACACAGAACATATAGCTTTTAGCACTGAAAGATATTATCTGGAAATCATGAAGCTGCTCAACTTGTAAAATCTAAAGTCTCTCAAAAAAGCAAGCTCAACACTAGGGTTGTAAATTAATCAAATAATTTGGTTTGATTCGATATTCAATTCGAAATGTTGATATTCATGTTCAAAATTCTATAATTCGAATTCGAATAAAGATATTTGATTTGATTTGAATATGAATCAAATACAAATATGAAATTTTAATATTCGAGTCGGTAATAATATATATGTATACACGTAAGTGTAAAATAGTATAGTATACATATAAATGTATTTTTCAAAATAAATAAATCAGACTAAATTTATTTATAATATTATTTTTAGAATTTTATATAAATAAATATATAACATATTAACATAATTAAAACTACAACTATTCGATGATATTTAGTAAAAAAAAATTGTCAATTTGAAAAAAAAAAACTAATAATAGATACGTGTACTTTTTTTATCAAGGTATTTAATATTGTTGTTGAATTCTTTAGTTACAAAATTTCAAATCGAATGGGGTACGACAAAAAAACGAATCAAATCTTGGATCGAAGATTTGAATAATACTGTTAAAACTATATACGAATATTATTTTAAAATTTGAAACAAATAGAATAATCTAATATTTCACGAATCGAATCGAATATGCAATATTGGCTTCGATTAGATTCGTTTACCACCCTACTCAACACAGTGGGGCTACATTCAACACATAAAGTATTGAAAATCTCCCCCGCATTGTCTTTTATCATATCCCGAGAACTGCACAATGAGTTGACAAGTCATTTGCCAAGTGCATTGGAAGAGGAGAAATAGATAATCCAAAATTCTTCCTATATCTCATCTGACTAGTTTCTTCACAGTTTTCGGGAAAGTAGAATAGATACATAAAGCATCAGGAAAACAGCCAGATGCAGGGTGGGGACAACTATTGTAATACCCCGTAAAAATACTCGCCGGAAGTTTGCCGAAACTTGCGGACTTCGACGCCGGAGTCGGACAATATTATTTTAGGCCTAATTTATTTTGAGCTTTTGGTGTAAGAAATTAAGGAATTGGCTGTAAATTAGGAATAAAATTGAGTTTGGGGTAAAATAAATAATAAACTAGATTTAGTTTATCAGTATTTCTTAATTTAGGTATCTTTATCCATAATTTGTTAAATATATCATATCTACAGTGTGGATTTGAAGTGTATCCATAGTTTGTTAAGATATAACGTATCCAAGTTAGAGTGCCAAGTATTTTATGTTAATAAAGTATAAAATAAAATAAAAGAAAAAGAAAAAAAACTGAGGCAGCACAGCAGAACGCACGCTGCCAGCCAACCCCCTTCTTCCTTAGAGTCCTTTTTCTCCAAAACTCTTCCTTTTGGTCTATTTTCTTAAGGTAAGTAGGAATAATTTTAGATAGACTGATATGTTCTAATCCCTAGACCCCTCTATTGATATCTTTTTCAATATTCTTGTCAAATGGGTTTGCCCTAAAAGTGTTAGGTTTTGCCAATTTCTTCTAGAAAGTTGATTATAATGCTTATGTGAAGATTATTATTGGATTTTAAATTGAAAATCGTGGAATTTATGTGATGGATTTGAAACCCTAGTTTTGCCCTAACCTAGTTATGGTTTTTGGAAAAAGATTTACGAATATATTTAAATATTATATTTTTGGAGTTAGACCATGCCTATTGTGATTAAAATATTTTTCGAATGTTTATTTGGCGAAATAAAGTGAGATTATAACGAACTTCTTGGGTCTATTATCCTACTTTTGGATGGTTGAATGTTGACAATTGGAATATCTTGAGTTTAAAACACTCTTTTTGAAATTTGCCTAAAAGCATGTTGACTATTTGGTCAAATTGATAATTGAAACTACCCGTCGAGTCCGATCAACTCGTCGATTGTTTGGATGATAAGGCATAGCCTTCCACCTCTGTGTCTTGCAAACACGTGAGGGTATATCGGTATTTTAGGATAACTAGCTAACCTTGAACTAGATCCCGAATGGGCTAGGTCGAGGGATCGAGATGACGGGTTCCCTTTTTGGGTGATTCCGAAGTGCCCATCATTCACGATGAAAAGGTCTTTAGACCGTCATCCGTAATGGAGGGATGGATTGCGTACAATCCCCTCTTGGTATGTTATATTGGAGACTAGAGGGTTGTGGGCCGTATGGCGCCCCTCGCAAACTAATAATAAATTGATTTACGTGTACTTTGGGTTTCGAACCCTTATGTATACATTGTGGAGTTTCCTTTGAGGGTCATGACCCTATGCTTGTTATGTGAAACTATGTGACGTGTCATATGAAGTAATAAGGTTGGAAAACCGGGTCAAGCCGGCCCTGATTAAGACCTAGTGGAGTTTTCTTCGTGATGTGCTCATCACTATTATTTGAGAATAAAAATGAGATATAAGGGAAGCGCTAAAAGACTCGTGTGTGTGAGTTATCCTTATGTGATATGTGTCGTCTTATTCAAGCTATCTTCTTCAAATGATTTTGTGGCATTATATCGTATTAATTTATCTTCGATTAATTGCGTTTACTCAACCGTTGTGTTGACCCTCTTCTTACAACATTTTTGTAGGTGATCATGTTTTTGTTATACCTAAATGATGCATCCACGTCATATGATCCATCGGGGGAACTATAACTACTTTATCTTCTAAAATATTTTTTAAATCCATTATTAATGATTAATAACTAATGCCTTTTGAACTATTTCCAACTTATGTTTTTGACTCGAATATTATTTATTTAAATGATAAACCGGTGTGCTTTAATTCTAAATCTCTAAATAGTTATTTTGTAATGGTTATTTTAGCCTTAGCGCCACAACGTAGGGCTAGTTGGTTAATGAACGAGCCTTACGGTGTGGCTTGGCGGTGACGTTCCGGTTTGAGCCGACCGGGGTGTTACAACTATAGCCAAATAATGTCCTATCTCTCATCTGGTTAGCTTTCTAGCAGCCATTATTTATATATTCTTCTATCAGTTAAAATGCTTCCCCTATTACAATAATAATAATACTAACAACAACAATAATAATAATTGAAATCCAATAAAATTTCAATTGCCCAAGTAAGTTGTGATCATCACCTTTTGGATAAACAATGCCGCTCCTAGAAGCTGGCAAATTTCAACCAGAAGTTCCACTAAGTTCATTCTAAACTGATCAAGGCCAGCAGGCACCTCAAGGTTTCCTGAATTGTCATTATACGTGGAATCATCAACCTGCAGCAGCAACAGGGTTGATATTAAAATGCATAGTGGGAAAATTTACAAAGGAACATATACTTTTTACAACTTTTTCTACTTTTCTTATCAAAAAAGGCAAAAAGTACGCATCAGATTAAAACGCGTGCCCAAACCAAATGAGCATATTTTTACATGAAGGGGGAGTATTATTTAGTTATACCTACTCCAACTTAACATTCTTATTTTAGTTACTCTCATAGTTTGTGCCTATTCACATTTAGTTACTGAACATTTAAATCTGCAGAGCCATCAATGGTCTTATAGCTGTACTACAACATTTTCCTTTCAATAGTAGAATAAATTGAGTAATATAGTAAAAATGATCCCTTATCCATTTATTCCAACATATTGGAATATACATCTTTAAAAACTAATTTTTCTCATCTAGGATAGATATTGAATACTTAAAAACTCAGGCCATTAGTTCTTACTCAACAATTTGCACACTGCCGCATATCATCTCTGAAGTACCACCCCAAATACTCTATTTTGCACCATGTATGAAAAAATCTTTCATTCTTAATGTCTCCTAACAAGCTTCTTGTTTAGAATTTATTCTTCTAATTGCATGCATATACTATACATATAGCTTTGATTTAGGCGGAGCTTTATATACCTATATAGTAATTTTTATCAATAACTAAGGTTGTGTTCTTATATCAAACTTCACCCAATTTCCACTATTCATTAAATTTTTCCCTCAAAACATCAAATCAAACATCTATTTTTTATTTTTTATATTATACTAAAGATCAATTTTACATTCAAAACATCACATCAATACCTATTTATACCACATCATACAACTATTCAAATTCAAAATTTTTACTATTTAAATCTTAAACCAAAATCCAAACCCCCCAAACAAACACACCCGAAGTAGTAAAGAAATGGTAATCCAGAGAAAAGGTATCCAGAGCTTTATATACCTATTCATTTGTGTATGCTCAAAAGACAAGGTAATCCAGAGAAGTTTTATTAAATTTTGGAAGAGGCCAAAAGCATAATCTCATTCCAGGACAAACTACAAATTTAAACAATTCCTGGCAAATACTTGAATCGCATAAACTTCCTCTGTCTGATTGTGGGTTTTCAAACTGGACTTTACTATTCACTAAATTTTTTCCCCAAAAATTATCAAATCAAACTCCGGGAATTCAAAAAGTTTTTGTGCGACAAATTAATAAATATCTTTTTTTGTTATACAAAAAATAAATTTTATATTCAAAACATCACATCAATATCTTTTTAATATTATATTAAACAACTATTTCAATTTTTATTATTCAAAACTCCAAACCCACAAACAAACAACCAAAGTAAATCTATCTCCATTTTTATCTTCGGAAAAGTCAATCTCATAAAGCAGAAGTATTCATTTAAACATATTGCAAAGTTATAATATCAAATTGTTATACTTCACCCAAATTTTTGGAGGAACAGTGTAGAAGCACAAAAGATCCAAATATACAATGATTAATGAGCTAAAGCGAAGGGCTCAAATGCGCAATTCTTAGCGTGCTTTGGAAAGAAAGTACAACATTACTTCCCAATTTCACATGAGTCATATGGTAAAGAAGACTGTGGTTAAACTAGGCAGTAGCAAGGATAGAAGAAAGGCAATGGCGCTCAGTAAGGTGATGTAGTCTATGAGACTCACATTTGGTACCAATTGCTTGCCACATGTTGCGATCCTTCATAAAAATGACTTATGACTTAATAGGATAGAATCATTCAGAGTTTTAGTAAGTTGACTAACATATATAAAATTAGATACACTTTGAAGAACATAAATAAAGACTCGAGAGGTCAACCAAGAGACAGATAGGCATCACCGATGGCTTAAGAATATGATTTAGTGCACCATTATCAAGGGTAGCATGAGTCAACGAGCTTAATGGATTAAAGGTGGAATATAACGAGGGATTACTGTATACATAGTCAGTGGTACCGGAATAAATAACCGACAGGCCAAAAGGAAAAAATGACTATGAAATAGCAATAATGGAAGCATAGGCATCGGATGAGATGGCAGGGCTAGTGAGGGCTGACTACTAGGATAACTGGAACTAAAGAAACATAGCATAATTGGCACAACTTTGAGCGACAGTCAAATAAAGAACAATCAGTCGCATTAGCAGCAACCACATTTGTTGTACAAGGACGTCCATGTAGGCTATAACAATGTTCGAACTTGTGATGGTAACTGCACTCTAGACGGTGTCTAGTGCGGGCACAACACTCACGTTCCCAATGACCCGTAATAAGATTACCAGAACCAAGATTCTGAGAGACTAAAGCGGCGCTATCAGTCGGAGCAACAACATATTGAGTAGCCTCAGTAGTACTGCTACTAGAAGATAAGCGCACGAGAGAAACAAAGAACATCATCAAGTGTAAGAATAGTAGAACCCTTAGGTATCTTATAACAAACATTATCAAGCCTAGGCCTAAGATAAACAAGAGGCAGCACAGCAAAAAACTTGTCCCATACCTTTGGGTCTGTACGTCTAGTAGAAATAAGAGAATGAAGTTCCTACTGAACAAATTCTAAGTTACTTTATAGGCATTAAAATAAAATAAAATAAAATGACGTTTATGGTGGACAAGACTGGAAACAGCATAATAGCACCGAATATAATTGTTATAAATCAAGGCAGTCTTGCTCCAAATTTCTTGTCACATTTCAAATCATTGGTGTATAAAAGTACAGTTAGGTCCAAAAGTCCCCAAACAAAGCACATAATTGAAGTACAGTTAGGTCCAAAAGTCCCCAAACAAAGCACATAATTGAACATCAACTTTAGACTACTCTAAAGGAATCTCTCTTGCAATTTTTAATTCCAATTTAATTGGATGATCAAACTCCCATTGACCTTTGAATCAAAGACATATAAATGTATCACATGACCTATAATTGGATAAACCCTATATTTTATTAGTAATAGCTCGGTAAATAGGTGATTTCGATGAGTCAGCCGTAGACACAATCACTAAGATATTTCAAAAGAAGCACGTGCGACACACATGAATCTGGCGGGAAGTTACGACATCAATCGACATGTCTTAACATTAGAATTGTTCCGGCGTAGTGTCTAAACACGGCAGCGGAAATGGGCTAGAAATTGCCCGAAATGGAAAAATATGGTTATTCAGTGGTACATGGTAGCACATGCGGCAGCGGGATGAAAATCGATGATTCATGGAAGAAGACGCCGATGGACAAGGACCCAAAATCTGGTGTCAGTTGGGCCATAGAGCCGTCCATATGGGTGCTAGAGAAAAATTAGTGTTCCTAAGCAATGGCGGGGATCCTTTGTTGCGGTAGTAGCAGCTCCATTAATGGCAGCGGCAAGGTGAGTTAAACCCTAGAAAAAAGAAGGCTCTAATACTATGTAAATTTACTCTATATCAGGTAAATTGATATTTTCTATTCCCAGTGAGTTAGAATTTCATTCTAAGGAGTAACATAAGTAAATATAGATAGCCTAAATGGACCTAGGTCTAAAACTAATTATTAGTAAATGGGACTAATCTATGTGCTATTGTAGGAACAGAAAAGTTAAATATACGGTACGTATATAAAATCATATCATATCTAAACCAAACAAGGAAACAATATATGTTGTAGAAGTTGAGTAAATCCAATTATAAGACTCCAAGAACTGCAAACAATGTTTTGGTAATACTTCATATATCTTCCAAATAGTCAATTCTTGCACAAGAATTCACAAATTCAGCCAGGAAAATTTCCTACATCAAAATGAGTTAAATAACTTAAGCTAAAAGATAGTAAATCTTTTTCTTCAAAAAAAAAATGGCTTTTAGCAATCTTGCATTTATTCCTTGACTTGTCCCACAATGACACAAAAAGAATAAAGTAACGTAAGTTCAATCCTTGCATGACAAACAACTAAAAGAATTGGAAGGTTTCACAAAAGGCACACTAAAATGTAAAAAGATGATACTACTGAGTACTGACAAATACTTAAAAATCTGCACTGCAGTATCAACAAATTTGGAAATATAAGGATAATAAATCTCTATTGAAAATACACATAGAAATTGCTATAATAGTCACAGCCCCAATCCAATAGTAAAAATGTGACCTGAACTCGTAATATAAGAGCCTCAACCAATGCTGAGAAAATAGGAATAAAATATTTTTCCAAATTCTTCCTATCATCAATACTGTCAGCTTGAAGCCCATGAATGTACCCAGCAATGCTAGACCTTGTATAGATAAATCGAAAAGGAGATTTTGTAAGTAACAGATGAATAGCAACAAACTGACTTTTATACTTCCCTTCATGTAACTGAAAGCAAAAAACATCACATAAGGTACCAAAAATGCAAGGTCGAGTCAGCAATCTTCCAATCTTCACTTGGAAATGCCACACAACTGCCAACATATAAAATATGCACGAAATCAATGAATTTCGACCCAAACTTTTAATTCTTTATAAATAAAATCTTTATTTATTTTAATTTGTGGTAAAGGCATCTTCACAATTGCACTTCTATTACAAAAGTGACAAGCATTCACCTCAAGAGAGCATCTGCCAGTGCTAGAGCTTCAATGTTTGCATCCACAATGAGAAAAGGTGCCTAGAAAACAAGGGAAATATAATTGCACAGTACAATTGTAAACTGAAATAAATTAAACAAATAAATTGTTTCGTGATAAGAAATGCAAAATGATGTTAAGCAATGCACACGAACCATTATACATTTATACTTACTGCTTGGCCAATTTCTGACATCAACCATGCAAGTCCCTCTACCACTGCCTCGTCTCTGCTTTTAAGAGCTGGGAAAAGAAGTGCTTCTTTCAGAAACCCAATTCGGGATAGTAAAACCTGAGGCAGTCCCTACGAAAGAGAAACCAAAATAGGAGTAATTTTATCTGAACAAATTAGATAGGAAGGTTTGAAACTGTGTCAATCCATATTAAAGAAGAGAAAGAAGACGAAGAAGAATTCCCAGCGCATTCCCAGGGACATTGTGTATGGGTATAGACCCAAATGATTCTTAACATGTCTGCTTAATTTATCAGAAAAGATTAAACTGAAAATTGGATATCCATGAGTAATAAAATTGGGATTAGAAATTCACGTATAAGAACCAAACAAGGTCAGCTGAACAGTAGCCTACCTCTTGTCGACCTACAAGCTCAACAAGAACTTCCACAGCCAGATCAAAAGTAGATGCAACCTATCACTTGAAAGTAGTGAAGTCATTAAAAGTTGTCACTCTGGGAAATTGTTAAGCTCTTAAAGAGAAAAGGCAAGACCTGCAAAGAACTAAAAATAAAGTCAAAAAGAGGATGAGCAGACAATGATCCTGGAGGAACCTCCAATAAGCACCCAGCTCGAACCTAAACAAAAATAAAATCTGCAGTAAGAATTATGTGCTCAAAATTAAGACCAAAGATAAAAGTGAAAGTAAAACAAACATTGAAGCATAATACATGCTGGTGTGTTTGTTTGGGGGTTTGGATTTTTTGTTGGAATTTGAATAGTAAAAATTTTGAATTGAAATAGTTTCATAATATGATATAAATGGGTGTTAATTTAAACTTTTAAATGTAACATTGATTTTTAGTATAATATAAAAAATACTAAATAGATATTTGATAAAAGAACACGCCCGCAATTGAATATCAAAGATTTAGGGAAGAAACTAACATATAGTTTTCATAACCACTTAACATCTAACAATGAACTATTGGTGAATCACAAATTACGACAATTAAGGCTGCATATATATTAAGGAATATTTTGAGTCTATTAATAATAATCTTAGTGAGAGGAAAAATATTTTCCTACTTTGGGGACACACTTGCTTGCTAAATCCTCTGGCTTCATTCCCGAGAGAGGCTTCTTTTTGTTTCATTTTTCTTTTCCCTTTTTTTTTTTTTTTTTTTTTGAGGAGGGGGCGGGGGTAGAAATATTTTATTAATGGAAAAGAGATTGGAGAGATCATTAGGCTACAGCCATAGAGAAAGCTTAAACATTTCCCCTAGCACACCCGCTTGCAAAGGAGTATGATACAGGAAGTGACCCCTCCTAGGTTAAATACCTCACATCAGTTCACACTTAAAAACTGAAAGAAAAACGCTTTATCAATCATTTCCATAATCCTTCCTGTGAATCACATTCTAGGTCCTATTTCAAGAATTTACCCAGATTCCAGAGTTATAGCCAATACGTAGCCATGAGTATATATGTTCCTTTTTGATAAAACCAGAAGACTTAATTAACGGTGAAGAGCCTAACTATTCTTCCTAGGTTGCACAACAAATGGCACCAAAAATAGTTGAACTAGTCTTACCCAACTTAGCAAGCAACGCAATATTTTTCTGCTCTTCTCATGGGTTTGTACACTACTTCCAAAGAACTCAAATTGCTGCATTAGAAACTCAAATACCATAGGAGTATGTCCAAGAAGCTGCATTAGCAAATTAGCATTTGGTGTGAATCAACGTAAACTTCCAGGATCAAAACAGCAAAAGTCTTAGCAGTGTTTGTATGAATGAAAACGTAAAACCTCTTGCTCATACTCAAGGCGCTGTGCAGAATCTACACCATGATCACTACTTTGGTCCTCAATAATTTCTGGTAACACCGTCAGCACCTCTAGAACTACTGTATTTCCATTATCTTGGTTACGTAAATTCTGCAAACTGTAGAAGAGCTTCTCGATAGGTCGTCCATGCTCTACAGCATGAAGTACAAGCGTAGAGAGTGCAAGACAGATTTGGGTTAACAGCTGCTTTGTGTGAACAAAGAAGGAACAAAATATTCAGCAACAATTTATAAAAACAGAAATTTGATGGCAGGGTGGCCAACGCAACTAAGAAAAATTAAATGCTCCTAAGAAATGACTCACCTGAGGAGGACCTGTGCTAAATCTTTTGGCGGCTACGAGAAGGGCTTGTAGGAGAGCATCCTTTGCTCCCAGATGAAGGGCATGTCCTTCGTTTTGGATCTGAGATTAGATAGAACAGAAATAATATTCACACAAACAGAATAATGTTATAGGACATAGGAAAAAGTCCGGAGTTTAAAATGACTGTAGCAAATCAGTTAAAAAATACAAAGATATGTGCTATCGACCAAACCCATTCGCAACACGATAGAACGTTCGCAACACGATAGAACGAGATAGTCGTCGTTTGGAATTAAATTAAGTAATAGAAATAACTGAGGGGAAATTAAAGTACTAAAGGGAGTGACACCGTGAATGAGAGTGTCTGTCTACCTTTCGCCTGAGAATCTGGGCGGCAAAAAACTCGACCTCGTAATCGGAATGGAAAAGGGGATGATGGTTGGAGGTGAGAAGGGAAGTGGCGATGTCCCAAGCAGCATCGGTCTGCTGGAACTGGACGAGCCACTGATTGGCAGCGATGCGGTTGCAAGATTGAGAATCGTGATTGAGGACGTGGACGGCCTGGGCAACCTTGATGTGGAGCTCCATAAATGGATTTATGGTTTTTATGTCCGGATTAAGATTGGGATGGGATGACGCCCAGGGAGGAGGGAACACCACGCACGCAGCGACGCCTGTACTTCACACTTTGTTTCTTCAAGGAAGGCCGCCCATTACCGAACCGTAGGTTGCCCAGACAGATTTCATCGGATGGTTGGAAGGCGCCCAGGTGTTGAGATCTGAGGAAGGATTGGGTGATACTGAGGATTGATTGGGTGAGAAGACTAAGAGAGACAGAGACAGAGACCGAGACCGGACAGAGGCAGTGCGATCCTCTGAGGGCAAGAGATACTCTGTATAAAGTTAACTCAGCTTATCGAGTTTTAACCACTTATTTTGTAACAAGTATTCTCACTTATTGTTATATAATAATAATTAAATAATATAATATTGGTAATTTTATATAATATACAATAGGGGTAATTGAATTTAAATACTTCTGAAGTTAAAAACATTTAGTTTCAGTCCCTTCTCATTTTGCACTTACATTGCACTCCATATTTTTTCTTTTCAATTGTACTTAATTCCATAGTGCTCATTTTACCCTTAAATTTTCTATATAATATAAGAAATATTATATTTACTTCTGTTATTTTTATATAAACTTACATTATTCAATTACGTACTCTAAAATTATCCCGCTATACGAAGAATAAGTCAGAGTTATGTACCTATATTTTTTATTTATGTACTCAAATTAGTTATAGACTACTAAATTTAAAAGAAAAAAATAAAATCCTAATATATAATACCATCCGAATCGTTGCTTTCACATTTCTTCCAAACTCTTCCCGTCATACGTTTTCTCTCGCCGTCGAAGTTCCCTCCAAAGAAATCGTCGCTGATCCTCTCCACAGGAATTTATTTTGCCATCAGAAGTCTCTATGGAGGGTATTTACCGTTTTGATACAACAGACTACATCAGTGGAATAATGTGGCAATAAAGTTGGGGCAGAATTGCCAAAGGACTCGTCAATTGTGCATGGTGTTATTGCGCGACTTGACCGAAAAAGAAAAAAAAGACCCGCAATTCATTTTTTCTCCAGGATTAAAACAAAAGAAATGGGGAGCAACAAAGCAAAGAGAAGATAAAAGCAAAAACGATGATCAAACAATCAAGGTTGGTGAAACATTCATACGTTAAAATTTTGTGTGCTTTGATTAACATATTTTGTACGTCTATTATTTTTTCATGTACCTTAGTTTCTAGCTGGTAATTTTTATCGGAACAAATGATATGCCTGGATATACAATGTGTGTGCTTCGATTGGCAATTTATGTAACTGTAGATTGGTGATGGTGAAATTGGCCACAAACAGACCTTTGTTGCCGATTCTTCGAAGTGGGAATTGTATCGAAGGTCTACTAATTACTGTGGAAGTGGATGCATTTCCAAAGAGGAGACAAAAATGATAGGCAACTTTCTTGCAAAATTTTGATATACAGTAGATACTAGCTTGTGCTCTATATGTATAATTTTCAAATATGTTAAACACTCTAACAGGTTGGTGTTTGTAGGGCGACTGTATGGAACCATGGACTAGTATACGTAACGTCTGAATCAGTGATCGATCTGTTATTTGACGATGCTATCCGTGGTGAGATTATGGATGCGTACTTACAATGGCTCCGCAGTCAAGAATTTAGGCACCAACATGGGGTGATAACGCGATATGGTTTCATTTGTCGACTGTGGCCTCATGGTATGCATGTATGCTAAGAGCTATGCTCTAAATGATACCAACCGTTATCCACTGGGTGGCTGGGCAGCCGAATTCGACGATGTTAAGGCCTATAGGGCAAAAATTGTTGCACGCATTTTATCAGGGGGCCCCGGAGGACCTATTTAGTACTTGTTGAATGATTGGGGTGTGAATTGTAATGGTCGGATTGATGAATAGCTTAGATTTGTGGCCAATCAGGGGTACCTAGCGTTGATGTTATATTTTGACGTAGACTTTGCAAGCAAAACAATCCAGTTTAATCTAACACATGTTATTTTAAGAGGTTGCTTATATGTACTTGTATTTTGGTCTGATATACGTTTTTATACATGATATGTGATCCAAACTTCTTAATATATACCAAGGTTTGTAACTCACACACCCATGTTTAGGTGTCGACATACCCCTAGGACCAAACCATATGCCCTCAGTGATGATATTTGTGCCTTCATATCAGTAATTTATATACCTCTGAACTAATAGAATGTACTCGTTCAAAGGAATATGTTCGCTAACTACTTTTAAATGTAAATGACATATGTTGAGAAGTGTTGTACTTATCAAAATTTTCTAAAAGCACCGGTGTACTCACCAAATTATTATGAAAGCGCCGTTAGACCGATGGCATAAAACAATAGATGATCAATACATTTCCTACAGCGTGGGGAATTCCAATATATCTTACGACTAATATTTTCTATCCCTTATACTCTATTTGCTCTTGTCGGGTGTTTTTTCTTACTCTTAGATATGCTTGAACAAACATTCACAATATAAAGAATATATTAGATCATTAGTTATACACTGACTTCATTTAGATCCTTACCATAAGTCACCTTAACTTATGTAATTTCATAAGTGACATTATTCCACCATTGCATATATAGATAGGTTTTTTCGTATATCGTCTCGAAAGTATCCCCTGTTGCATACTCACTGCCCAAAAAGTGGGTATGACGTAATACACTCATAATTGTTTGATCCAATAATAATCATTGGCAAATTATGGCCATGTAACTTGAATACCCATGTTCACATTACTTGCACACGAATATGAATACTTCCATTGGCAAAGATGCATCCAATTAATACTACTATGTATACCCATATATTAATGGATATACTTCCAAAATGACATAAAATACTCGTATAGCCATTGTAAAAGCTCCGTCAAATATATTTAATACCTACTGACAATTCACTGTTAGTAACTATTGTCTTTGGTATATTTTATACAAATATAATAATATTGTAGGTACTTTCAATATGAGTTCACGCACTCCTGAAACGGATTGGTCTGAATTAATTTAAAATGATACATACCCCGATATATTAGTTGTGTACAACGAGAAATATAATGGAATACCATCTAATTTCAAAATCCATCAACAGTGGTCACGTACGTAGATCATCGTTCAATTTACAATCTTTCAAAAACAAAAAAGAGATTTCAACCATAACTAGAAATACCTAAGGTAAAGCCTCCTTGCAACTTCGTCGATTATGTCCTAGGTGATCGCAACGACCACATTTTTTAGATTGTTTCACCTGTTGTGATTCAAACCGTCTTTTCTTTGGCCGGCCAAGTTGGACAACGATTCGGCTATATTCAACGATTCGGTTTTATTGTTATTTATTATCTCCAAACGAGTCTCTTGGAATAGATAATTCACCCAACACTAGTGCTGCAATTGTGCAATGAAGTTTTGGACAAGTGGCATGGCCTCCACAATATACGTTATATGCTGCTCAAAATTCTTCTATAGGGGGCATAACCGACTTTGTTGAAAATGGCCATCCATCATTTGTTGTTGTGCATCGGATATCTCTGCATTACCTATATGAAATGTAATTACCTCGTTGTACATATCATAGTATATAACATATATATTTTACATATACCTGAGTGCAAAAGTTGTCCACTAGATGCCGGAGACAGTATGTGTGGTGGGCTCCGAAAAATACTACAAGATTGAACTTTAGAAATTTCAAGTGTCTATAAAAAAAAGTGCATTATTTTAAATTATCGACCATCAACGTGAAGAACATACTTTAAACTCCCACAAAACCATTCCCAATTTTAATCATTTTCGGAAAACCGCAGCATAGCTACAAGATTTTAACATTACCTAATACAAGCACATAAAATAAATACCAAAGTTCATAGATGATTAGTCATAGTATATACCAACAAAACCAAGGTATTTTCAAACAAATGCATCATATGATATCAAACAACATGAGTATAAAAGTAATAAACGTAGGTATACTATACTGGGAAATGGAACCCGTGCAAATGTCCACGGATACTAGCAAAAAATCGTAACAGCCTTCACAAAACTTGTTTCCTATGTATACCGTCCTAACGAAAGGTTATAATGAAACTCAATTAGCAACTACTACGACTATAATCTCAAACAAGGCAACAATCACCGAAGTAATAGTAAAATACTTACCGAAATCGATCGCGAACCCTAACGACACATTCGTAATCAATCAACAAAATTATTGCAACAAAAGAACATCGCACATTGAGGACTCGAACCTTCCCCTTATCTGTTTCTCTCTTGCGCGAAAGAAACCTAAAATTTGGGATTTGCATTCGAAACCCATCATACATATTCACCATTGATCACAGACTCCTCCGTGCGAACGAAATCGAACAATGTAGACAATCTTTCTTCTTCGCGTGAATGAAATCAAAGGATGGACATAATTTCCTTCATTCATGCGAAAAAAAAACTAAAAAATAGAGCGACAAAATTGAAATTAATAAAATAAATTTTTGGTTGAAATAAGGGCAAAATTGGAAACAAAAAGATGGTGGGGAGTTAATGGTAGGAATTTTAATAAAGGGGGGAGTGCAGAGTCTATCAACATTATCTAGGGACTGAATTTAAATGTGAAAATAGAGGTAGGGAGTTTATTCCAATTGCCCGTATATAATATATGTATATGTATGCATGGTGTAAGTATATATTATTACATATATAAATATATAAGGCACTATGTATAGATATAGATATGTATTAGTCTAATTAATGCCGAGAGAGATTTGTAAATGTGGAGAATTGATTTCATCCAAGTACATATATATAGGTTTTTTCAACCAATCACAAACATACAAACATTCACACCTAGTCTAAGTGTCTTGCTAACAAAATGCTATATATTGTATTTGTGTATAACACTCTCCATTTGGATGTTTTAAACAAAGAATGTGCCTCGTTAAAATGTTACTATGAAAAAACCCTGAGGGAAAAAAATCATAGTGAAGGAAAAAGAGTACAACATTCTTGTATTAATATGTTCCCCGTGTTTTCGACTTTATTTGATGTCTTTCAGCCGACGCATTCTAATTTCTTATATCAATTTGTTGAATGTTTCAGTCGGTAGCGTCTTTGTGAATAAATATGCAAAATTTTCAAATGATCGAATTTGTTGCACATTAATTTCACCACTCTTTTGAAGATCATGAGTGAAAAAGAATTTCGGAGATATGTGTCTTGTTCGATCGTCTTTAATAAATTCTCCTTTTAATTGAGCTATGCAAGTTGC